TGTCAATGGACATTTAGGTTGCTTTCATGTCTTGGCTACTGTATATAGTGCTGCTATGTACATTGGGGTGCATGCATCTTTTCGAATTAGCATTATCTCTGGATATATGCCCAGGAGTGGGATTGCTGGATCATAGAGTAAGTCTATTTTTAGTCTTTTGAGGAATCTCCGTACTGTTTTCCACAGTGGCTGCACCAAACTGCATTCCCACCAGCAGTGTAGGAGATGGGAATGTCGTTTGGTCAAAGGCTCCCGGGTGAAGAGCTCTGATTACAGCTGGAGAACAGACTAGTTCAGCCCAGGGACGGTAGGGGAGGAGAGTCCAGAGAACATCAGCCCTGCAGGCAGGGCAGCTGAGGCTCAGAGAAGAAAACAGTGTAACCCAATGACAGAGACGGTAGGTGCCGCTTTCCCCAGGTGTCATTTCCATCCAAGAGCCTGGCTTTTAGGGAGCTGACATTTGGAGGGCTCATTAGGAATTCCAGCAGCACCCAATGCAAGACTACAAGCCTCAGCTCAGGCTCACTGGCGATGCTAAATGGGACCTGCACGTGTTCCTTGCCTCTAGCGCCTCCTCCTGTTAGATGTTGGACAAATCACCAAAGTCCTGTGACTCTGTATAAAGATGGAAATGTTGTTATGAAATAAAGCAAATTTGCCCAGTCCAGGAATGCCATAAAGAGAAAAGAGATAAAGAACAGATAAATCACTTAGACAAGTTTTTTTTTCTTTTTATGACTGGTGAAACTTTAGGAGATATATTTCTCTGCCATAAACCTTCAGTGGCTCCCTAACAGTCATAGGAGAAAAACAAAATTCCTAAACCAGGCTGTCCTCAATCAGTCGTAAAGGGTGATGCATGTGTGGACACTGGACCACCTGGGTTTGAATTCTAACTCTGTAAGCTACCGGCTGTGTGAGCTTCAGAGAATTGCTTAATCTCTCTGTTCTATCTGTAAAATAAAGACCATTGCCCATGATGCAGTTCTACAAGAATCAAGTCATTAGCCACTGCGGCTGCCGACTTACAATGCAACCTGAAGGACGAAAATCAGGATGAGGCACTCTGTGCTCTGAGAAAACCAGCAGCAGACTCTTAGATAGCTAGAAATATGTCAGGAGAATTTTTATGAACATGAATTCTTATGTCTTCTTGTACTTACAAGGCACTAAAATCTCTGACATTCGTTCCTCATGACTAGCAGCTAGCTTCCACCTAGATGTGTGCTTGGGTGCACACACCCCTTTGCCAGAATCACATACACACTGACGTCCCCCATTATGTCTTCTGAGCAGTTCCTCAGAGCTACCTGAGAGACTGTCTCCGGAGCTATAGTTCTCAGTAAGTCCCCAAATAAAACCGAAACTAACAGCTCTCTCGTGCATTTTTACTCCAGTTGACATGTAAGTGAAACAAGGGTATTATCAGTACCCATCCAATAGGATGGTAGAGAATTAAAACATTTAGAATTGTGCTGAGTGTGAGCTGTCTTTAGAAACACAGACCTGTCTTTCCCACCTCAGGGCCTTTGCACATGTTGTATCCTTTGTTCAGAAAGCTCAGCCCCAATTTCTTAGTTTACTTCTACTTTGCCTTCAACCCCAGCTCACTGGGGACTTCCTTAGGGAAGCCTCCCCTGATACCCTGAGTCCCCCGAGTCTCAGTCAGTCTCCTCGTCTGTGTTTTACCTGTATTCTCTCCTTCATGACATTTATGACAGTTGTGCCTTATTTGCATTCTTCTTTGATGAATAATCTCATCGTCCCCATTAGACTGTAACTCCACTGTTACGGAAATGATAGGCCAGCCAAGAAACAAGCACCACTCGGAGGGTGGGAGTACTCAGATTTATTACGCCGGCGGGCTCAGAGGGGCTTCTGCTCCGAAGCTCTGAGCACCT